TGTAGCAGTAGCAGCTTTCAGTGGTGGTGTAAGTATTTGGTTAGCATCTACTCGCTATCAATTTTTCCGTTCACTATGGATTCCCACCTCAGGAGGTTCTCTCATCGGTGTAATTTTAGTCCAGTATGAAATTCAAGCAGAAAGAAAATCAAAAAAAATCACTTCACAGTAAACCTGTTGAACTAACCTACGGGTGATGCTAATATAACATGTTCAACAACATTTGGATATTTGATGGCATATAGTCCTGCAATATATGCTCCAAATGAATGTCCCAATAAAACAATTTTATCTAATTCTTCTTGTTGACGCCATTTTTCTAATGAATCAATAAAAAAGAGTTCACTTTCACCAACTGTCTTTGCTTGAAATCGTGGACGACTTGATCTACCACATCCTAACATATCCAATGCGTAAACATTTCGAAATTTAGATGACAAATGATCCAAATTTAATAACCAAAATCCAATACCAGCACCAAAACCATGTAAAAGAACTAAATTTGTTTCATGAAGTCGTGCCTTAATTGAAAACAGATAATGTGTAAAAATCAAGAGTACAAAATATGCACATAAAAGAACAAGAGTGAAAAGTAGCATGTTTTTTTTAACATTTTTTATCACTCTATAGTTACCGTTTGTGAATTGTTATGAAGATGTACTGTATTTATATATAAATTATTTCCAATTTCAACTTGTCGTTGTTGAAATGGTGATTTAACCGTTTTCATAACAAGTTTTTCTGCTTCTTCTAATTTTGCTTGTGATGTGGGAATCCATAGTGAACGGAAAAATTGATAGCGAGTAGATGCTAACCAAATACTTACACCACCACTGAAAGCTGCTACTGCTACACTCCAAGTGACACTATGAAACATTCGTGAATAGAGAAAGATGGTCACGAGAATAATGATAGGAAAAAGGATCCACATGAAAGAGATAAAACTCAATTAACATTACAGAGATTTCATCATGATCAATTATCTAAAATGAAAAAATAACTGACGTTTTTTTACAACAACATATTCTAAGAGATCAATAAGGATCGTTTTATCTAGAATAAAAGTAGTTTTAATTATATCAACAGATAAATTATGTCATGATCTTATAAGAAAATCGTTCAACAATTAAATTATCATTGAAAGACATACAATTCTATGTCATTGATGATACTAAAACCTTTTAATTAGAAAAAGAAATATCAATCAAAGTTAACAATAACAATGAAAATATCAATAACAAAAAATTTATGATCTATAAAATAATTTTGCCATTTGTTTGGCTAAATGTTCCATTCTCACGGAATCATTTTCATCTTTAAGTTCTTTATGTGCTTCTGCTAACCAAAAATCATGTGTACGAGAATAATAATCTTCATATGACTCATCTGGATTCAGATTGGGCGCTTCAATTTCGAGAGAATCATCATCACTGGAAGAAGAAGATGAATTGTCACTGTCATCATTTATATCCATATCACCATCTAAAGCAAATATAACAATAAAAATATTAAATAAGTGGCAGTATGACGAACAGTGCTCAGCAAAACTAAATTTTTCTTCTGTATGCCATTCAGCAAATCATCAGAGATCTTAGGATCACTCGTGTTCAGAGTTGCCAGATGCTTAGGCGAGAAAAGCGGAATAAAAAGTCGAAAAAGTGGAAATTTTTTTCAAAAATGCGGAAAAAAAGCGGAAACGCATTTTTCATCGTATTACTTAATTTTTCATCAAGTGGAAAGGGTATCAAAACAAAAATTTCTAGCGCTTTATGATGGTTCCACTTAAGAAACACAAAAGAAGTACAAAACATCATTTAAATCCCAATTTGAATCGATATTGGCTTTTTGTGGATGCGCGTTTTTGATCAGCCGTCATAAATTTCAACAGTTATGTATAGAAAGATAAAATTGAATTCAAAACTTTCCCGTCTACGACAGTACTTAATGGTTAAGATTTTCTGACCGAGTTGGCTTCCTTGAAGATTTAGTATTTCACTATTTTTCACACTCCCTTTCAACAGTACCCTTGAGACAAGTTAATGTTTTTCTGTTAGCGCTCACTTTGGGGACAAATTTCTGATTTAGTTCTCAAAACAGTGGGCATCTGTTTTATAAAAGTTGCAAAAGCATTGTTTTGACAGGTCATTCAGCCGCCAAAGGCGGCAAGGTTTTTATGAGAAAATGTAAAAATCTTCATTACAGGAAAAAGCACAAAAACAAAAATCCTCGAAAAGCGGACAAATTATGGACACTTTGCGGAAAATAACTACAGAAAGCGGAATTTGTCCGCAAAATGCGAATCATTTGGCAACTCTGCTCGCGTTTGTCTTTATTCTACATTTTCATGATGCTCACAAGAATATAGATAAAATGAACGATTTTTATGTGATTCTGTCAAACTACAGACGATTTTGTCTTACCCTCCTCATCTCCACTTGATTCGGAATCTGAATAAATATGTACATTTTGTTGATCTAAATCTACATGTAAAGTTTTCCATGCGTCCATTTTGTGGAGATTTAAACAATAAAAATCACCAAGAGTAATCTAGAACACAACAAAGTGACTATTATTTCTAAAGAAAAAAATGTTTATTTATTTTTTAATCACTTTTACCTGTTTCTTTTCAGTTAATTCTTTGATTCCTCCGTATAAATAAAGTATTCCTTGTTTAATTACCATTGACGCATTCATACGAGCTGTGGGACCAGACACATTATCACTAGAGCACGAAGCGGATACTGTTGCAGCTAAAAATGCATAAATCAGTCAAAAGAACATGAGATATTTAAGATAATATTTACTTTCTGAGGAAGCTGTTGTTTCTGACGAAGTCCGTTTGTCTGACCTGAATAGAAATCACAAGAAATTATCAAAATTAGTTTTTGGTTTCTGAAAAAATACACGTTAATCTTTTGCATCCAAAAAACACTTTTATTATAGCTTTAGCTGAAATGCTCACTGCACTAAAATGCAAAATTTGTCCTGTTATTTCAATCAAATATTAGATTATTTATCGTCTTAAATTAGAAAAAAAATTTTCGTTTGAACTGATGATCCATTCTTTTTATAAACCTATCACATCAATGTCCCTTGGAAGACACCGACGGATGTAATGAGTTAAAAAGATTAAAGTTCACTTTGATACAGTCTAATTTCTCTATTTAAGGTATCAGTAGTGATATGTGGAGACAAATGTTTGGCAATATAAGAAATTAGATGATATAGTAAACAAGTTTATGTATGTAACATATCCTTTTCTATTAATTGGTATTGTTCTAGGTTTTTTTTATTGATATCTCCTCCACTGAAACGTAAAAAACTAAAACGATCAAAATTTAAACGAAAAAAAATTCGAGGAATAAACTTAAGAAACTTTCAGATAAGTAAGACGAATAATACTTTATATCTTTATATGCCCTCTAATTAACGAAAAAATCATTTGTTTTCGATTAATGCTTGTCAAATCAAGTTATTATTAATTAAACTCAGAACTTCTATGTTAGGACGCAATTTCAAACTGGTACACAGTGTGCATCCAGGCCGGCTTTTGATGAAACAATGAAA